CGATACTTTCTAATTGTATAAAAAAAAATTTAAACAGATACATGTTTCGATAATTAGGTTACCTTAAAAATTTTAATGTAAGCTTGCTCCTTTATAATTTTGAAGATTTTTATACACTATCTCGTAGACTTGTATTGCAATTATACTCAAGTGGTAATGAAATTAACATTAAAAAGTTTAAAAGTAATTTAAAACCGTTTGAATCAACTAAATATGCAGAGGAGTTGCTACTCATGAATTGAAAGATACAATAAACGACCGTGCACTCAACCATTCAATTAACTACCGGCCGCCCACACTCACTTCGGCGATAAAGTGTTTTATGGTTTTCTTTTCTTATTTTATATTTAGTACGTGTAATATTTTTTGTTATATGTACATAGTACATATACGTGTACTTTGCCGATCCGACCGCCTTCAATATCAAAGTTCAATTACCTATTCGTACCTATGCTCAATCGATTTTCATAAAATCTAAACTGATTTCTCTTAAATACTGAAACGATCAAAAAAATACTATTTAGAAAAAAAAATCAGTTTTGTTATTCTAATTTATTTACGGATAATAGTAGTACAACAGATTTTTTAATAGTACATTCAAATTAAATTTTTTACACATAAGATTTCTTTAACTAGAAAATAATTCATATATCCATCATTTGCGAAAATAAGTATGATGAAAAACTTCTAAATATTTGTATGCGTAGTCAAGATTCATATAACATATATCGATTAACGAAAACAATGATTTTCACTTTTATTTTATTTTTTTGATTTATGAGGAATAATATGATCTTGTCCATAAAATAATCTTGTTTCGGATGACCATTTGACCTATTTCTCACTTCACATTTGTTGCTTTCAAAACATTATTTTATCAAATCAGATTACAAAAAAATAAAGCAATCAAATAATAATAATAATTATAAGAATAACATTTAAATATCATGTTAGATACATTTTTTTTACATAGTTGTCGATCATTATTAGTATAATGTGCAACAATAAGAGCAATCATGTAATTATGTCAAAGGCACGATATTACACTAACAAGGTCATGTTGACAGTATTGTGGAATTCATGTTTTATCATTTATATCAATTACCTTGACAAGGGTACAACAATCTCCGGCAAATTGTCTCTTAGCATTGTTGGACAGATTCGATATTATTTTGAACCATAAACATCCGCATTTGGCGAACAAAAAAGTGCTCTTCCGTCAAGCCAATGCATCGGTTTAAACGTGTGCAGTCTACAAACTGAATTGCGATTTATGAATTGCAAAGATTCATAAATTGGACTGCGAACTGCTACCCTATTCCTCATATTACCCAGATGACTCTCCTTTACTTTAACGTTTTCGAATGTTAGATAGATAGTTACTTAAATTAAAATTAAATTAAAAACAAAAATGAGGTTTTGATACGCCCGAATATACTGGCGATGCACTGAGGGCATGGGTTTAAGGTGGATATGGACCCACGAGCGTAACGGAGCTCTAATCTACCAACTGGGTGACTGGAGGTCTGGACGCCAACAAAAATGAAAAATCGATTGATATTTATTTATTATAGGAAAATATTATAAATTTTATGTTTTAATAGTTTAACTTATATTTATTAATTAACATTATAAGATTTTTATTGGTAAAGTTCGAATCCCATCACTTTTCGTGTTTGTTAAATAATAATTTTAATAATTTCTTAACCCGCATTTAATTCAATTATTATTTTTTTATTTTCTCCATATATATCTCTCTCTATATATTATTCCATTTATGTTGTTAAAATTTAAATAAATATTACAAATACGAAAGGAAATTAAAAAGCGAAAATTTTTCGTCAATATTTGTAAAATAAAATAAAATAAAAAATTAATTTTACTTATGTTAACCAAAAAAAAAATGTTATATAAAACTCAATGTACAAAAAAAGAAACGTTTTTCGTTCCATTATACAAAACACAATTGAAATTGACTACTTGACTTTTAAGTCGAAAATAAATTATCTATTGTAAGCGTAAATAAACAAATCATTGTTAAGTATACAATGTGATTTTCTCGTATATCTCACATTCACACATTTTACCATGATCTCATTCCAAACAATAATTTTTTGTCGAAATATATCTTTGCATTTATTTGCATCTGATGCAATTTTTTTCGTATTGAGTTGTTTTGTTGTTTTGAATTTTACGAAAATAAACAAGTAGCGCTTGTGGTTTTTTTTTCCTAGTATCTTCTTACGTCGTTTATTGGGTGAGTACTGCATTATTTTGATACTCGATTGAAGAAGATTTATTTTTATTTATTCACATTCCCGATCCCTTTTTTTGAGTCCTCCTGTAAAAAAAAATTTGTTCAAATTCTATAAATATAATTTTGATATTTGTGAAAATAGTATTAAAATTTTATTTTAGATTTATAAATAATTTATTTATTATATTTTTTTTACAACATAAAATAATTGTGTAAATAAACTGGTAGTTAAAAACAAATTAATGCAATAGATTTATTTAATAAATTTAGAGAAGTAAAATAAAAATATATGCAATATGGATTATATCATTTAATTTTTATCTGGTTTATTTTTAAAATCAATATTTTTCTAAATCAAGAACGACTTTTTGTGCATCTATTCCATTAAATGCATTGTCCATTTGGAACATTGACCATTTTGATTACATCTTTGAATTATTGCTGTACTATTTATTGTCGTTGAATTATTAATCTATGGAATTTCTTTTTTAGAGCTATGTCTTGTTTCAACATGACTTCAAGCATTTTTGGTTTGTTTTTACTCGACAGTATTCCTAAATTATGTTAATTAATTATCTTCATTGCTCGTCTATACTATAAAACCTTAAAACGCTTTCAAGATTTTTCTATTATACATCAGATAATATTCATTGATATGATTTAGTATTTCAAATTTTTTTAAGTGTGAAAGTTATTCCATGTTCTAAGCATTCGTAGCTCTTAAATCGTAAGGATACCATTTGGATTTACCTGGGTTTTTGTTTATTGAAATTCATTAGGTTTTAAATTTAGAACCTATCGTTGTAATCTGCATTTGGGATACAACCAGTTGTGGGTTTTCACCACGTTAGTTGGACGTTATAACCAGGTATATCAGCAAGAATGTCTCAGAATATTGGTAGAACCTTTTAAGATATCTTCTGCGACCATAAAATTTTTTTGTGTCATCGGAAATAAAATGTAATGGTAAAAGAAGAAGATTGAATATAAAATCTTTTTATATTTCTAAGAGCGTTTAAAGATTTAATGTTTTTTCTGTTTTAATGTTACTCCTGTTGTAATAATTTTATTACCACCATATCATACATTTTTCTCATAACTTGATCGGGTGCTCAACGCCTGTCTTGCCTGCCATTATTTGGCTTTGTGTGCGAGTATTATTTCCATAACAAATATTTTTTTATTAATCGCGATCTAATTTAATGATCAACGTGAGATCAGATGTCTGATCGTGATCTAACCTATGTCTAACACACCTACCAATAATAATAAGTTGTTTTAAAAATATATATTTTGCCACTTCCATAATGTTTAATTTTTACATATGTTCATCATCTCACACAGTATATCGTTATTCTCTTTTTAATAATTGAGCTTGATTTACTGAAAATTTGATAAGAAAGAGCGCTCAGTTTTACTATATTATATATTTCTTGAACTACTCTTCTCTTTATGCGTTTCATAAATATAACCCTCAATAACAATCTTGCTGTAAACAATCACAAATGTATTATCTGGTCTTTTAAATTTCATCGGTCTTCATTTTCCAACTGTCATCAGTATTGACTGGCTCTACAATCGGTGTTCTTCAACTATTACTTCCACCGATCCCGATTTTTGATCGACTTTTATCAAACGTTTATTTTTTAGCAATGAATCTTGACTACAACTCATATTATTGTTAAAAATAAATTATTAACTAATTTTGTTATTAATTTTCTTTCAGTAGTACGATTTTTTGATTCCAATATCTAAAATGCATAAGATTGATCAACAATGTTCCGCTAATATTTTATTTTGTATATAAAGAAACGATTTTTCTAAAGATATTTTCAACGCAGGCTATCGTTGTTATACATATATATATATATTGAGAAGAATAAAATCTGAAAATAGATTTAAATTTCACCCTAAATATTTTCTTAAATGAAACATAAACATTCCAGAAACAAGCGTGAGCGCACACTTGTGGGATTTAGTATTGATTTTACTCAATTTTTATTAAATTATGTTAATAAATTTTAGTAGACAAGTAGATTTCCTTTTTTGAAGAATTCTTTCTTTAATTTTTCTTCGAGTATTAGTACATATGAAGCCTAAATGTGGTATAAAAATAAATGTTGTGACAACAATTAAAAAAAGCGTCAATTTTGTCTCTTGTTAGATATCTGTGTGATTGTTTCTTTTCCAATGTATTTTTAAATTTAGAGAAATGTTTTATTATACGTGTATATCTGATTTAAAAAACATACAATTCGTTGATTTAATATTATAGCCAATTAATATGTGTATATAAAATTGGAAAAAAAAATTCATAAATAGTGTACTATTTTTATTTATTTTTTATTACTGAACTTTTTTAATTTTATGTTTATTATATTTCAATTTAATTTAATTTATGGTTTTGTAATATTTTTAAATATATGAAGTCAAATTTTCTTCAATATGGTAACATGTTGGTTCAACCAACTGTCAATTTTTTCTTTTACTAAACATTGATGATTGAGGTCGCCCCACTTGCTTGTTCTCATTAAAATACGTGGAGACCAGTAGAAACAACCGCAAGGAACAGCATTTCTCTCAATTTCTGTTGCTAACCGAGATAAAAACTGTTTGCTCAGCATATAAAAAAATTTTAAGTCCGTTTCCTTTTATTTTATTGAAAACATTAAACGAATAACAAATAACGAATTGAAATATTTATATATAAAATAATATATTTTTATTAATTATTAATTTACAGATTAATTAATTTCAAGCATCTTGCCTGAAAATCACAACAAAACGGATTAATTAAAAGGCAAAACATAACTACTAACAAAATGACTGAAGTCGAACAGCCTCCACAGAATGGTATCGATTTATCGGCCGGTGACGGGGATGAAAGCAGCAAAGCACGACCAGCTGACATTGAGCAGGTAAGTTTATGTAGTAATAAATCACACAGTATATAATTTTATTTATTTATTGTTTTTAAAGAATTATATTAACTAATATTTTTTTATATTTTCAATTAGGATATGCGAGAAATGGAGAGACGTAAGCGTGTGGAAGCAATAATGGGCTCTAAACTTTTTCGTGAAGAGCTTGAACGCATTGTGGAGTCAGCTCGAGAAGGTGGAGCTTCGGGTATTATACAACAACTATCTGATATTGTTGGTATGCCAGCTTCGCGTGTAGGCAGTATGTTTAAATCATCCAATTGTTTAGTGCCCATTAATGATATACGTGGAATAGAATCCATGGGCTATGCTAAAGGCGAAAAAATACTTAGATGTAAATTAGCTGCAGCATTCCGTCTATTAGATTTATATGGTTGGACACAAGGTTTAAGTGCACATATTACAGCACGCCTTAAAGTAGATAAAGAGTATTTCCTTGTCAATCCATATGGTTTGTTATTTCATGAAATAACGGCTTCGTCTTTAAATAAAGTTGATATGCAAGGTAATATAATTGAACAAGGGACGACAAATTTTGGTGTTAACAAGAGCCGTAAGTTGAATAACAAATTTATTTACTTTTGAAACTAAATTTAATGACAAATTATTTTCTTAGTTTTTATTTTGCATTCGGCCGTACACGCAGCTCGTCCAGATATACGTTGCGCTATTTATGTCGGTTGTAGTGCTGTAGTGGCCATATCATCCTTAAAAACTGGTGTATTGCCAATTACCAGGGATGCTTGTTTATTAGGTGAAATAACAACACACCACTATACTGGTAGCTTAACTGAACCAGAAGAACAGGATAAATTAGTACGTAATCTTGGTCCCAATTCTAAAGTGTTGTTACTTTCTAATCATGGTGCACTATGTTGTGGAGAAACAATTGAAGAAGCTTTTTATGCTGCTTGTAATATTGTAAAGGCATGCGAAACGCAAATTAAATTGATTCCAATTGGCATTGATAATTTGGTTCTTATACCGGAAGAGACAAGAAGGATTATTTATGAACAGTCTCGTAAACCGCCAGAAGATTTAGAAAAGGTATTCGCTAGCGCTATATCTACTAGTGATGCAGCACCAACTCAAGAAGGTACAACGAAAGAAAATCAAACCGTTAAAATTGGTGCACCAAAATGGCGAGTGGGCGGAGCAGAATTCGAAGCTCTTATGCGTATGTTAGACAATGCAGGATATCGTACCGGATATATATACCGCCATCCATTGATAAAATCAGATCCACCAAAACCCAAAAATGATGTCGAACTTCCGCCGGCTGTATCGTCTTTGGGATATTTGCTGGAAGAAGAAGGGTAAAGAAATAATCAAACAATTTTACTATAACCTTTTTTTGTTTCTATCTTAATTTTTTGTATTTTTAATGGGTAATTTATTACCATCTTCGATTATCATCTTCATAGAGCTAATTACATCACTTTTGTAATGTTTTATAGTAGTTTTTTCCTTAAACTATTGTAAACTGTTGTAAAATGTTTAAAACAATTGGAAAAACATTTGTTTAAAAGCAGAAGATAAATAAAAAGTCTTGACAGTCTTCAAACAACAATTTCCAAATGTTTTTATAGTAATTCATCTTTAGAAACCGTTTGAAAATTTTTTCTTATTAAGAATTAAACATTTTTATCAAAATATTAGCTGTTTTTTGTTTTCTTTAAATTGTTTTACGCGGTATTTTATTTATTCTTGTATTGTTTGTTATTCTTTTTTGAGTTGTTCCACATATAAGTACAATGGTTAACCAATCTCCTTATCATTGGAAAATCTCAATATACTTATATTATTTAGTCCTTCCAAATAAAAAAAACCTACACAAAGACTGTTTGTTTTTCAAATATTAATCGTATGTTATTGCTTTTAAGGGATAATTTAATTTATTGATATTATTTATTAAAGAAAAATTTATTTAATATATTAAATTAAATTTATTTACAGCATGTGGAAAGGAAGAGGTGATTTGCGTAAGGGCGGTGATCGCAGTAGGTGGCTCAACTCTCCGAATGTTTATCAAAAAGTGGAAGTGTTGGAAACTGGTACTCCAGATCCGAAGAAAATAACTAAGGTAGAAATTATTACTTTTGAAGATAAAGAAATAAAAAATTAAAAAAGATGCAAAGCGCTAAAGAATCAAAAAAAAAATGCTTTTACAATGAATATGAATCAAGTCTAAATTTAAAATTTTACAAGTCAATAACCTAAAACTTAACATTCCATTTTTTTAAATTTACAATACTATGTTAGATTTTTCTTTTCTTATTATTTTATTTCATCTTTTTTTGCACAAACTAATTCAATTAACTAAACTTCCTTTAAAAAATAATTTTAATTTCTTTAATTAATTTTATAATACTTAATGATATTGTCTGCCATATCACTTCAGTTCGAACTATTCGTTCATTCAAATTTTATAGCTAGTCGATTTTGCAGTTTTACAATATCTATATAAGTAAAAGAAAATTTGCTGCCATTTCAATACCAAATATTTATGTAAAAATTTTTTTAATAATAATAAGATATAAAAAAGACTTTTGTTAAGAAATATATATATTTATTTAAAATGCTTATTTGCTATTCTGTAACACGGTAATAGTAATTTGAACAGCGCTTTTTAATTTAGTTAATATATTTTTATATAAATGTTTATTATATTCATATGTATGCAGTGTTAGTTTAACAATAATTGACAAGATCGATTTTAAAATAATTGGTTTTGTCAAATTTGTGCATCTATTTTAAAAATATAATGTATGCTTTAATATAATAAAATATTTAATATATTTCAATCAGCTTAAATAAATTACAAATTTAGTAACTTTTTAAGTATTTACAAATCTTATAAATTATGTAATGCAAATTAAAAAATAAAATAAATTGCAATTTAAAAAGTTTTAAAATTAATTATGTGTATAACTATGTTTCCATTAATCTAAAGTAATATTGTGCCTGTTGCTGACAAGTAACTTACTTTTATATTGAAAAGTGTGTAGAGTATTTAAATAATATATTGCCCATTGCTACTCGAAACATATTTCTGCTAGTAAATCCGTTGATGTGCCTTAAAATGAAAGAAGAGAAAGAATATATATATATTTATTATTAAAAACAATCGCTATTGATAATTTTTCAAGTTCGAGCTTGAAGTTTTTCTTTACATTCGAATATAAAGAATTCTAATTTGTGCACGAAATTTTTAATTGATATGTTTTTAATTTTGCATGTCTTATTTTCAATATATTTATTTGAGTTTATGTTTCGGAATTCATCTGTTTGTTATTTAATTCAGAACTGATTATTATTTTCCATTGGCACAATATTATTTATTTCAAACTTTTTTTTTTGCATCCATATAATATTTTATATAACATTTATTTAAAAATTATTATTTTCTAACAAAAATATGTTGTAACTTTTATTAATTAATTTTATTAACATAAAAATGGTGCATTTTATTAATAATGGTTAAATATTAAACTTCTCAAAGTTGAATGTATACAATCTTAATAATGTAACTGTCATGTAAGATCTATAAAAGTCTTTTTTAAAATGGTAGATAGATCGTGATAGTGGTACCCGTATGACAAATGCATGTATATCCCTTCAACAGTTTTAAATCATTTTAAGTTTACAGTTTCTGAACATGTCAAAAGCAGGGTTAGTGTTAAAATTTTATTAACCGATTCATGCAAAAAAAAAGACAACGTTTTAAATTCTACTAATCTTGAATTATATTATATATACAATAATAAAATATGATTAATCTTCAATTTTTATTACTTATTCTTATGTTTTGGTGCCACATTTTAAACGTTTATATAAACAATATTAAAAGTAGTTAGATATAAGTTTGGTATATATAATAAAAAAAAAATATCTGTAGTTCTTAGTATCTACTGTTGCATATTAATAACAAATTATATTTATTAAAATGATTTTCTTTTGCATAAATATATATATATATATATTTTCTTTCTCATTCTCTCTTTACAAATATTGTTCTGCCAATCGTTCGCTCTAAATATCATATGCTCGTACGATATATTATGGCCCTCCTTAAATATATAAATATTTAATCATTCAACAAAAAAAAAACAAAAAACTTATTTTAATCAAAAGTGGGTTGCTGAGGGCTCGCCAACACATTCTACACCGGTGCGCATTGAGGATCCTTTGCAGTTTGTACCAGCCGGAACAAATCCAAAGGAATTTAAAAGGCTTCAACAACAGGTATTTTAAATATCATTAATTTTATATTTATTTACTTATTAATGTTAATCTAATATAAATATCTTAGATTAAAGACAATCGACGCGCTGATAAAATATCTGCTGGTCCTCAATCACATATACTCGAAGGTGTTACATGGGATGAAGCTAATCGCATTAAAGATGCTACTGTATCACAGGCTGGTGATCATGTAGTTTTAATGGGTGCTGCATCTAAAGGTATAATTCAACGTGGTTATCAACACAATGCTACTGTTTACAAGGCTCCATATGCCAAGAATCCATTTGATAATGTAACTGACGATGAATTAAATGAATATAAACGCACTGTCGAACGTAAAAAGAAGAGCATTCATGGTGAATGTAAGTTTAATTAATTTTTGATTTAATTTTTTATTTTTATCTAATAAAATAAAAATTTGATTTTTTTCAGATACTGATACAGACTTCTCGGAATCTGAGGCAATAAGTTCACTGCAAACTTCTGGCGCACAACAAACTAAACAAATTACTACCACTACAACTGCCGCTGTTAGTCAATCAGAACCAGAAGATGTTTCAGGTAAGTTTGTAATAAGATAAAAAAACTAGGATTTTTCGAATTTTAATTAATTACAAACAAGAAATTTTAAGAAAAAAATAATGAAATATAAAATTTTAATAAAAATTATAGAATAAATAAAATAAAATCTTTAAGTTCAAATAAAAATAAGAATTCAAAAAAATTTTGAAATTTTTTACTTTAAATTTATAGAACACCATGTTATGAGAATAGAAACCCAACAGGCGCCTGTTCCAAGCCAACCAGAAGTTGTATTAAGCGACGGTAAGTTATTGAAATTATTTTTATATATACAAATTTATTTTGTAAAAAGTTGATTTATTTTTTGTTATTGTCGTTCGAGTTATCAAATTTTTCCGTTTTGTTTCGTTATTATTTATTGTTACGTATTGTTTCAAATGATTCGTTTCGTTTTTTGTTCTGTTTGGTTTTTTTCACACTTCAAACAAATACGAATATTATATATTAAGCTTAATATAATCTAAATCTAAATTATTTTTTATGCCATGTAACAAATTTTAATTTTTTCTTCTTGTTTTTTTATTTTTATTTTATTTTATTACATAAACAAATGCTCCTAAACAAATCACCAACTTTTATATCCACATTTAAAACAATTTTTTAGTTGTAGTGCTTAGCAATAAAATGTTAATATTACTTGATATCCTTTCCCTAACCTTTATATAAAGAAATTTATAGACGAAATCAATCCACTACTTTATTACTATAATTTTAAAACAGGAGCAACATGTTGTATGGCGTGTATTAAGTGATTTATTATATACTACTTCTGCTACTTCCACTACAATTGCTATTTTGCATCATCCTCTATTCTACATTGCAACTCTGTTAAATTTTAAAATTTTATGCAGCTGCAGTTTTGAATTTTGATTATATATATTTTTTTTATTTGCTAATATATATATACATATATATATATATAATTTTTTTTTTAATTATTCCAACAGCAAGTAAATCAGTTAAAAAATTAGAAAATCATTGAATTATTTTATTTACCAACCGAACCTTAAAATTTGTTAACTAAATACAGATTACTTTCCCACTTTGTAGCCAGCTCGCGTAAAAAAAAGTGAATTGGTAAAGAATTTTTGGAATATATTTTGTAAAAATTCAAAATTTTACATATTTTATTTTTGAAGACAATAGTATTATTAACATGTATTAACATAAACAGAAAACTGCCCTCTCCCGATACCCTAATTTATGTAAAAAAAAAAAACAAAGAAAAAAAAGAAAATGAAACAACAGCTCAGTTAACAAACAGCCAAATCGTGCATAATATACAAGTGTATCTTCAGTCATCACTACTGCTACTACTACTACTACTACTGCTACTATTATATCTACTACTCTACTACTACAACCAACTGCCACTTCTATTTTGGCACAAATACAAAATTTTTATCATATTAAAAATCTACTGTCTAAAGTGGTGAGTCTGAGGTGAGTTTTGGTTAGAGTAGCAAATGAAGAATAATAAAAATAACAAAAAATGTTTCATGTAAATTCTTTGCTAAACATCAATACTTAAGTTGTTCATAAAAAATAGATGAAAATTTTTCTTTTGACATACAATTTTACCATTTACGTTAATTCTGTATTTAAATTGAAATTTTGTATTTAATAAATCTCATCACATTGTGTTGATTGTGGACTGCAAATTTAATTTTTTATTTGCTCATCACAATTTGCTTCATTAATTAAGAACGGGCATAATTAAATCTGTTTCATTTTTGAATAGTTTTAAGGTTACTTGTATATGTAATAAACAGTTGATTTTTATTTTCGCTGAATATACCCTGACATAAAAACAAAACAAAACAAAACAAATATTAAAAATTTAGAAAGTATACTTATGTATATTTAAAATTATATATATTTTTTGTCTTTATATTCCAAAAATATATTTTATACAATTGAAATAATAAAAGAGCTAAAATAAAACTATTTACCATTAATTCATATTTACATTAAAGCTCTACCTTTTCATTTAACATAACATATAGGCAGAAGAATAACTTTTAGAATATTAAGTTTTGTACTTCTATTTTTCATAAAGAGGTTTTTCGAACAGTAGTGAACTAAAACAACAAAAATTAATTTTATATTACTTTTAATTAATTGAATTTTTAGCTGGCCATACAGCTGTTTCGAGTATTGCCAAATACCCATCATCAGTGATCTTGGAAATAATTCTTGTATTTAATTATTTGTAAATAATTTCTTGAGACTGCAAGCACCAGGAATCTAACTCATCGTATTGGTGTGATTGTTCTTTTACTTTTTGGAATAATACAAACTATTTTGTACGATTCGTATATGACTATATCAATGCAATCAATACATAGGTAGTTTTATATATTGTATGCATGGAATACATTATTATCGATCTGTTACTTTATATAGTCTTAAGTTATTCTTGTAAAAATACTGCCCAAATAACTGTTAGGAAATAAATCTAGAACTTACGTTCGACTCTCAATAAACCGATCACGATGTTGAACCTGGAAGTAATATATATTGTTAGCTTACTTAGAGGACTCTTTTTGAAAGTAGCGCGATAGATCGCATAGCATGTTCCATTTTAATAATAATATCAAAGTTCTATCTTCAACAACTGCTGTGCTGTTACAGATATTTGGTTGAAAAAATAACTGAGTTTTCTATTTACGTTTCAAAAATTCATGGTTTTATTTGAATATTATAAAAGTAAATTTTTATAAATTTTTATAAATTGTTTTTTGAATGCAAATATATATATATAAATTTTTGAAAAATATATTAATGTATACTTTCTAAAAAATTGGCATACTCGTATAACGACGAGTAAGTTTTTTACGTTTATATTAAGTAATACTGCAGCTGAGATTCGTTTTGTAAATATGTAGTTGAAATTTTTTGAGTTGTACCTACAAATGTAAGTAACATTTAATTAGTTGAAAACAGCGTATGTAATGTATTGCAAGAATAGCATGACTTGACCATAGCATATAATAAGGAAGTAAATTTTTTTTTCTTTATATTTTAAAATTTAATTTATAAAACGTTTCTTTTTAATTGGTCTAAAAACAAATTTTAGCTACACTTAGTTTTATAAACGGCGAACGTTCTCACACAGCTACAAATCGAAAGCCACCGACTGGCCGAGGTAAAAAATATTTCTGTTTTAAAAAAAAGTTAATAATTAACAAATGCACATGTGTACATACGCACCATAATAATATTAAATAAATAAACCCAAATTAATGACAAATATTTTATAACTAATATAATTCCGAACTAAAAATAATGTTACATATTATTTGCACTGGGATATGTTTTACATTTGCATTCATTGCACATATGTATTATATTAAATTTACTTTTTAACATTTCATTTAGTATATATAATTAATAGTTATTTTAAGAAATAAAATTTAATCAATTTAGTAGTACCTCTATTTTATTTAATTAGATTTAATTTATTTTCATTTTAATAATACTTTGGTTTTATTTAATAATATACTATGTAAAGTTTTCAATCATTTAAATTATAATCATTTAAGATATTTAAGGTAAGTTATCTCATACACTAAAACATTGTTACTATACTTTTTTTTTTAATTTGTAATATATAACTTTATAATTTTAAATTATAATTAGGTGTATA